TGTGTGTGTGTGTGTGTGTGTGTGTGTGTGTGTGTGTGTGAGGTGATAAATGAGCCTCCTCTCATTGTTCATTGGTTCTGTCTCATCAGCTCGTGTGTTCAGGCTGCTTGTCGTGTTGCTGTCAAGGTCAAACTAATCCTGGTTTATTTAAGAGACGTGTCTCAGCTTAGTTAAAATTCCCTCCTGCTCTGCATTACTCGTTTTACTCATCAGGTGTGTGTGTGTGTGTGTGTGTGTGTGTGTGTGTGTGTCAGGGGGCGACGTGCTTTAGGTCACTGAGGGCAATTCAATCATTACCCTTTATTAAACACAGTTAATATTCTCGCTCAGAAAAATGCTGCAGCAGAAGTGAGACATGATTAGATGAGCCAGCTCGTTGGACGCACACGCCACCCGAACAAGAAGCCAGACAGAAACACACCGCTGGCTTTCAGAGAGTTTAGATCCGATCATTTTTTWCGTGGCCAAACAAATACAGCTGATAAAATCAGTCTGCTGCAATCCCAGTTTGAAATTAAAGAGGAAAAACAGCAACAACAACAACAAAAGGATTTCTTTCTGGAAGGATTTGTCACCTTGTATCCATGTATGTTCTTGGTGCCCAACTCTAATCAGTTTTCTTGTTTTTCCTCCACAGACCTGAAGGCTACAGGATGAAATGAAATCAAGGCTGTTTTTTAAAACATCCTGTTTCTGTGTCCAAACAGACAGAATTACCTTTTTTTTTCTAGTTTCATGACAAATAAAAGTCAGATTGTTGTGCAAATTTGGCCAATTGATTTCTTTTTGTTTTATTCCAACTCTGGCATCAACTTCTGACCCAACTCTGAGACACAGTGTGGATGCCAGCAGCAGCACAAACACACAGAAGCTCCGCCCCCCCGGTCAGTTGTCGTAGCCACGAGCGAAACCCCTGCAGACCTGAAACATCCAGGAGCAGCTTGAGATCTCAGCTCTGATCAGAGACAACCAGATCCTGTGGCTTTACTCCCCGTGAAACGATCCGATCTGGCCCGTGAAAAACGACATCTGTTCGGAGCGCGAGCAGCGCAACCAATTAGCACATTGCTATGACGACATCAGCAAATGTCAACGTTGGTCATGACGTCTTCTCTGCATTTCTGTTTGTCTGAAAATAAATTGCTCTTGTAAGCTGTACAGACAGACTAATGTTTTATTGAAGCGCTTGTCATGAAGTTTCTTCAAGAACTCACATGAGCACATTTCAGCGTCATAGATTTATTGGTTTATAATTTAAAAAAAAGATTTGTTTTGTGGTAGGTTGATGAAGCCAATTTTAAATGTTAATCGGGACCATTTGTTTCCGACAGAGTAGGAGGGCAGTGTTTCCACTTTACTTCTTTTTTTTAATGCTGTTTTAGCCAGAGGTCATCGTTCAGTCACCCAAACAAATCCACAGTGAGTGGGTTCAAATTTACATGAGAAAAATAAAAAGTTCCAACATAAAACTCAAACCTTTGCTACAACCCTGAAATTAAGAGTGGAGCGTCACAACAGCTTCCAAATATTTAATTAGAAAATAAAAGGTAAAAAGAAATTTCATGTTCAAACAAACTGAATAATGCAAACAACACTGTAGAGAAATAAAAATGTGAATACAGGAGTCATTATTCAGCCTAATAAAAAAACAGTCTGTACAAACATCTGATCTTTCTCAGTGATTTGCTCTAGGGTTGGGCAAAATCGTATTGTGTGCAATTAATCGTCAGAAAAACTTMAATCGATTATTTTTTGGCACTTGACGATTAATACGATTAATACCWCCAGACTGACTGACTTMCCCCTTCAGTCCGCTCAGTTTGACGCTCTGATTCAAATATGACAAACATTTTTTTAAAAAGTTCTGTAATTTATTTATCATTACTCCCAATTTACACTCATCGGCCACTTTATTAGGCACACCTTGCTAGTACCAGGTTGGCAATAGATTCAACAAGGTGTACTGGAAACCTTCCTCAGAGAGTCTGGTCCATATTGACATGATAGCATCACACAGTTGCTGCAGATTTGTCGGCTGCACATCCATGATGCGAATCTCCTGTTCCACCACATCCCAGAGGTGCTCTATTGGATTGAGATCTGGTGACTGTGGAGGCCATTCCAGTTCAGTGAACTCATTGTCGTGTTCAAGAAACTAGTCTGAGATGATTCACGCTTTATGACATGGAGTGTTATCCTGCTGGAAGTAGCCATCAGAAGATGGTACACTGTAGTCATAAAGTCATGGTCAGCAACAATACTCCGGTAGGCTGTGGCGTTGACACGATACTCAATTGGTACTAATGGGCCAAAGGTGTTCCAGGAAAACATCCCCCACACCATTGCATCACCACCACCAACATGAACCGTTGATACAAGGCAGGATGGATCCACTCTGGCCATTCTCCTCTGACATCAACAAGGCATTTACACCCACATAACTGCAGCTCACTGGATATTTTCTCTTTTTCGGACCATTCTCTGTTAACCCTAGAGATGGTTGTKGGKKRAAAWYCC